TTGAAAACGCGCACAAAACTTGCATAATTTTAATTTACTACAATTGCGTTTTACTTTCACTTTCTTCATTCTCGCGCGCATATTGATTGTGCAGTTGCAGTGTGACTTGCTATGTTTGCATGCCGCTTTAAGTTTTTTTTGTTTTTTTATTTATTTTCCACTGTTCATCCAAGTCTTTCGTACTTTCATTCGACGTGTTGACATTACGCGAAGATCACAAAATTTCGTTGAAGTCATTTAATTACGACTCCTATGTTCTTTTTATTAATTACGCGCTGCTCTGCATTTCATAAAGTTACACATTTTCCAAAGAAAATGTCAATGCATTGAATTAATGTAACTTGGCACAACTATTTAAGAAGACAAATACGCTGACAAGCTACAGTCACGGTGTGGTGTGTCAGAGTTTGCTAACATTGCTTTGAATAGATTATGTGATTGCCTTTTAGGGATTTTGCGCAGGCAACATAGCTCATCAAATAAACATTTGTATAGAAAGTGAAGAAGTCTACACAGTTATCTCAAAATGGCAGGCTTTTATGTAAGCATACGCAAGCGTTGTATTTCGCAAATGGATATCGATTGCCCTTATCGTATAGAAATCCAGTGTAAGTAATGCAGAGTGAATGGTAGTGAATGGAGTGGAGTCCTACCGCATTTATAACATTGACAAAATAGTATATCATCTTGTGCAATATTGCTCATATTTCGTTCAAAAAAAAATTTTTTTTTTGCAATCGAAACGGAAAAATATTATAAAGTGTATAGCTGGAATGAAACAGTTCCCTTGAAGCCTACAGTGACACTTTTGGCAAATGCTTTTTTATACCCTGAAGAGGGTATATTAAGTTTGTCACGAAGTACGTAACACCCAGAAGGAAGGGTCGGAGACCCTACAAAGTATATATATAAATGATCAGCATGTCGAGCTGAGTCGATTTAACCATGTCCGTTTGTCTGTCCGTCTGTCTGTATATATACGAACTAGTCCCTCAGTTTTTAAGATATTGTTTTGAAATTTTGCAAACGTCATTTTCTCTTCAAGAAGCTGCCCATTTGTCGGAACTGCCGATATCGGACCACTATAACATATAGCTGCCATACAGCCTGAACGATCGGAATCAAGTTCTTGTATGGAAAATTTGCACATTTCACAATGTATTTCCATAAAAGTTGGCACAGGTTATTTTCTAGAGCAAAAGTGTAATCTCCGAAGAAATTGTTTAGATCGGTTAACTCTAGCATATAGCTGCCATACAAACTGAACAATCGGAATCAAGTTGTTGTATGGAAAACTTTCACATTTGATAAGATATATTCACGAAATTTGGTATAGATTATTTTTTGATTCAACAATGTAATCTCTGAAGAAATTTTTCAGATCGGATTACTATAACATATAGCTGCCATACAAACTGAACGATCGGAATCAAGTTCTTGTATGGAAAATTTGCACATTTCACAATGTATTTCCATTAAAGTTGGCACAGGTTATTTTCTAAAGCAAAAGTATAATCTCCGAAGAAATTGTTCAAATCGGT